CGAAAACAAACGCTAGGCAAGCCAAACGGGACTCCTTTTGTGTGACGTACAAAACGATTAAAATGCGGCAGGGGATGCACACGCGACGCTAGTTCAGAAAACAGATTAATGCAACGGCCCATTTGCTTCAAATAAAGTAAGTCTAACAAGGTAATGCAGTATACTATGTTTTCATCATTTCATCGTTTTCTTCAGTAATTAAAACTTGGCTTCAGATTAGTCAACAAATGCGGTCCAAACCAGCCGAAATCTTCAATAGTTGTCAAGACCAAAATAACGCTGCCTCAGCGATCATCAACAGCTTCGAAATAATAAGGAATTTTACAGAATGAAAATATAATTTATACACAAAAAGACAACCAGCCAGTGATTCAATTAAATGTGCCACTCAATGACCAAAGGCCTCGGGCTCGAATCTCAGGCCACTCGCATCTGGGATTGGGTATAACTGGCTGATGATGGCTAATAGGCCAGAAATGACCCCTCTGGCCCTCCCTGTCTTTGTCGGTACCACTCTGTCTACCTATAAAAAGGGATATGTTCAAACCCAATTTCACCAAGCGTAGGAGCTTGGGACAACTTATGCCCGTATGCTCCCCGACCATCTTCGTTCTCATAACCCACATCTCAAACAATGTAAAAAGTATGACTTGCACGAAAATACCCGTGGGTTAACCGTGAAAAATATTGTCCAACATCAACAGCCGACCGATGGTATACGGTTCATCATATTTATTATCAGGGAAAATTTGACTGATTATTCAAAACAGGCTTTGAGGCTTCATATTACGCTCTATCGGTTTACACCACTTTTTTCTCCATTATTCAAAATTAAGCTTAAACAACAGACTGTGGTATACAAAGTTCCGATACAATCTTCTCAAATATCTTCTTGTTTGACAACTTTATATTACGTTCAGCGCTCTTCCACACTTTTCTGCTGCTGAAAATGGCTAATTTTTGAATCTTGTATTTTACTCGATGGTTAGAGCGAGTTCTGAGTTTTTTTTGCGACAGTTCGCAGATATGTTCTCAGTTTCAAAATTTACTTTAGTGGAATGACTAGGTCAGATAAAAAAAATGAGATATGTGATCGCCTTCCACAGCCATACCTTCCGGGAGTCAGCGTTCACCAGACTAAGGTAATCAGCAACAGCAGTCCGTGATGTCGAGTCCAGATAGCGAGCAGTTGAGTCACACACCCAACAATGGACACCACGTCGACCTGAAAAGACCCAGAGTAGATGTTCGAAGCCGAAGTCCTCACGAAGAGCGCGGTCTAGGCACAGGACAGCGCATTTAGCCAGTATCCAGCATCTCGGACAAAGGGCAGAGGATCTGTTAGGATTTTGCGATCCGCAACAGAACCTAACATCGTCATAGTCTGTCAAATCGATATCGAACACGAGCTCCTTCCACTCTGGCTGCAAAAAAGAGACAAGATGAAAGGGGTAATAACTTGAGATCTGCAAAAACTCTGCGGGACAAAAGTCCTGTACACCCACAGAACAAGAATCAACTAACGAAGAATTTTCAAAGAGGTAAAGGGCATGCAGAAAAACTTCTTCTATAGCACATGAAATGTCAGAGACAGGTACACATACGACGCAGTGGAAAGTGCACTTCCCCAAATCCCGCCCCAGGGAGCCCGTACATGAACGCCTGACTGAATGTTTGAATTCTGCTTCAAAGAGCACGTATCCCGAGAACAGACACACAGTAAGTTCGTATGCGTCACTTTTCATCAAGGCAGGTATGGAGTACTCCCTGCAAACATTATTTACAAGTCCGGGCTTCGTGGAGTGGATCATTTTAGGCGAAAGAGTAGGGTTCTATCTGTATTCATATCTTGTCATTACCGCAATTTGGAATAGTCAGTGCATTACGATGTCCACCTTGAGAGCCGTATAAGTCTGTATAGATGAGTCCTGCTATCGACAAGGTTATCGGATGCCTGAACGGATGAACTGGCGTTCTGGTCAATATAATCCGTGACTAGTCCATCGCAGATTACAAACTGTGTATCTTACGACCAGAAAGCGTCGTCGGTTGATAATGATTTGTGCCTTCGATCAAAAAGTTCTTCAGTCAGAGTAACAGTAATCTCAGACGGTGCCAAGTGTCTAAACTCCGACTCTGCATATACTAAAGGCGTGTAGTCCTGTAACAACAGAAAAAAATACTAATTTTGCTGCCAAGTTTCGCGGCACTAAAAAATGACTGCTCTCGAAAAACCAGAAAACGCTGAGAATGCATTGTAGGAGGTGCCTAACGTTTTCTACTTTGTCTGGTCGACCAAGAAGAGGGGAC